TCAGCAATGATACAAAATTAACACCCAGAAATCATTGGCATTTTTATATACCAACTAGAGGCCTGGTGCATGAAAATTCATGCACTGGAGGGGGTGTCCCTCAGCCTGGCCTGCCCCCTCTCACAGTCCGGGAGCCCTCAGGGGTGGAAGGCAACTGGCAATCAGGGGAAGGCGACGCCCCATCACACCACTGCTGCTGCCACTGCCGGCAGAACAAGCCTCGGCCGACCCTGGATACCTGAGCCTCGGCCGGCCCTGGGCGGCTGGGCAGCCGCCATCTGAGGCTTGCATGCACTTTGGGCCAGCCCTAGGCAGCTGGGCAGCTGACATCTGAGGCTTGCCTGAGCCCCGGGCATTGGCTAGGCAGTTGCCATCCAAGGCTTGCCTGTGCCTCGGGCTGGCCCTGGGAGGCTGGGGGGCTGAGGGGACTGGGGGATCCAGAGGCAGGCACATGGCAAGGCCACGCGCCTGCCGCCCTGGCGCAGCTGAGGGGACTGGGCACCGCCATCTTGTGGCTGTGGGTGCTGCCATCTTTGAGGGCATGGCAGTCAAATAGCATATTCCCTCCTTATTGGCTGTGGGCACCGCCATCTTTGAGGGTGGGGCAGTCAATTAGCATATTGCCGCCTTATTGGCTGTGGGCACTGCCATCTTTTGTGATGGTGTGAGGGTCAATTAGCATATTCCCTCTTTATTACATAGGATAATGAACTCTTAGAAAGAGAAACAAAACAAACAATCCCATTTACCATTGCAACAAAAAAAGTAAGATACTTAGGAATAAACATAATCAAGGAGGTAAAAGACCTGTACTTAGAAAACTATAAAATGTTTAAAAAAGAGATAGAAGATATAAACAAGTGGAAGAATATACCATGTTAATAGACTGGTAGAATTGACATCATTAAAATGTCCATGCTACCCAAAGCAATCTATAGATTCAATGCAATTTCTATTAAAATACCAATGGTATATTTCACAGAGCTAGAATAAATACCCAAAAAATTTATATGGAACTGAAAAAGACCTCAAATAGCCACAGCATTCTTAAGAACGAAGAAAAAAGTTGGAGGGATCACAACATTGGATATCAAGCTATACTATAAAGCCACTGTACTCATAACAGCCTGGTACTGGCACAAGAACAGGCATATAGACCATTGCAACAGAACAGAGAACCCAGAAATCTACTCAAGCCATTATGCTCAATTAATATTTGACAAAAGAGGCAAGATCATACAATGGAGTAAAGACAGTCTCTTCAATAAATGGTGAGGGGAAAATTAGACAGGTACATGCCAAAAAAAATGAAACTACACCGCCAACTTACACCATACACAAGAATAAACTCAAAATGGATAAAAGACTTAAATGTGAGTCATGAAACTATAAAAATCCTAGAAGAAAATGTAGGCAACAAAATCTCAGACATTTCACAAAGCAGAATTTTCACTGATACAAGGCCTAGTGCAACAAAGAGAAAAAAATATACAAATGGGACGACATCAAAATAAAAAGCTTCTGCACAGCAAAAGAAACCAGCATCAAAATGAAAGGGAACTCATTGTATGGGACAACATATTTGCCAATGATATATCTGATAAGGGGTTAATTTCCAAAATATATAAAGCACTCATATAACTCAACAAAAGGAAAAGAAACAATCCAATTAAAAAATATGCAGACACAATAAATAGAAACTTCTCCAAAGAGGATATACAAATGGCCTAGAAACATATAAAAATACTCAATGCCACTAATCATCAGAGACATGCAAATTAAAATGACACCTGCCAAATGGCTACCATCAATAAATAAATCAACAAATGACAAGTGCCTGCAAGGATGTGGAGAAAAAGGAACCGTAGTACACTACTGATGGGAATGCAGACTGGTACAGCCACTACGGAAAACAGTATGGAGTTTCCTCAAAAAATTAAAAATGGAATTCCCATTTGACCCAGTAATCCCATATCTAGGAATATATCCTAAGAAGCCCAAAACATCAATCAGAAAGAATGTATGTTCATAGCAGCACAATTTACAATAGCTAAGAACTAGAAACAGCCCAAGTGCCCATCAGTAGATGATAGATAAAAAAGCTGTGGTACATTTACACCATGCAATACTATGCAGCAGTAAAAAAGAAGGATCTTTTACCCTTTGAGACAGCATGGAGGGACCTGGAAAGTATTATGCTAAGTGAAATAATCCAGTCAGAGAAAGACAAATATCACATGATCTCACATATGTGAAATCTAATGAGCAAAATAAACTGAGAAACAAAATAGAGCCAGAGACATGGAGGCATACAACAGGTTGAGGATTCTCAGAGAGAAGGGAGAGGGTGGAAAGAGATCAACCAAAGAACTTATATGCATAATAGAGGCCCGATGCACGAATTCGTGCATGAGTGGGGTCCCTCTGGGTGGCCTGCAGGGATCGGGCCAAAACCCACAGTCCAATGCCGCCTGCAGCTCCTACCTGCTGCTCCCGCTCATCCCGGCCCCACTGTGCCTGCCATGGGGTCGTGCCCAATCAGTCCCAATCGGGACAGGTTTGCGCTGCTGCAGCAGCACTCACCAGCCATGAGCCCTGAATCTGGCGCCATCCCAAAGGGAGTGGCCTGCGGGATCGGGCTGAAACCAGCTCTCCGACATCCCCCGAGGAGTCCCGGATTGCGAGAGGGCACAGGCCAGGCTGAGGGACCCCACTGGTGCACGATCAGGCTGGGGAGGGACCAAAGGAGGGCTTCAGGGCATGTCTGGCCCATCTCACTCAGTCCCGATCAATCGGCTGAACCCCAGCAGCAAGCTAACCTATAGGTCAGAGCGTCTGCCCCCTGATGGTCAGTGCACGTCATAGCAAGCAGTTGAGCAACCTTAGCATATCATTAACATATTAGGCTTTGATTGGTTGTTCAGTTGTTCTGCCTTTTGGTCTATTTGCATATTACCCTTTTATTATATAGGATATGCATAACCCATGGGACAATAGTGGGATAAAGGCCTGAGGAGGGCACGGGAGTGGGTTGAAGGAAGAGGTCACTGGGGGGAAAAACGGAGGGGGGCATCTGCAATTATTTAACAATAAAGAAATTTTTTTTTAAATCATGGTTATAAGTATGCTGAATGAATGAATAAAGAACAAATACATCTTTATGCTTTGATTCATAAATTTTCAGTATTAACCTAAATACCATAGAATTATCTAGAGTAAACTATAATTTCTCTTCTATTAGCCCAATAGCTATTAATTTTAAGAGAATATTCCCATTAAGCTTGGAACAATCTGCTTTGCTATAGCTTCATTAGAACTGGAATAACACCTCTGACCTACATTTTGATCAACATGCACTAGACTCATGCTCTGGCAATGAAACAGTGGTCAATAAGGAAAGTTAATCTATCATTGACATATGTTTATCTGATTTCTCAACTAAACAAATGTTTGTCACTGTTTGATCATAACATTAAAGCCAAAAGTCAGACTTATCTCAGATCTTAGTCATAGGCTATTAATGATTAAGGGAGACAGTGTGACAGATTCTATCTTTAGGTAACTATTTTGTAGGTAAAAGTTTGGGAAGAGATATTCAGGTAAATAGAATGATCACACACTTAATATCTGAATTAATTTATATGGGTAAAATAACTCATGAGCCACTAATTATATTATCTCTGACTGTTACAACTAAAGGATGATATAATATCCAAAAGAAAAATACATTATTTTATTAAAACATCAATTCCACTTATACAATACATGATAAATTATTAATTTATGCTGTAAAGAAAAATGTAATTATGGGTCATATTTTAAACATAAACATTCTATGGATGGGTAGTAATCTACACATTCTATATAATAAAAGGCTAATACGCAAATAGACCAAATGGTGGAACAACTGGAACCATTGGAACAACTGACCAACCAAACAACCAGTCGCTATGACATGTGCTGACCACCAGGGGGCATGCGCGGAACATGGTGGGTGTTGGCCACGGCGGGATGGTGGAGCAGATGAGCAGGGGTGCCAGACCAAGGCAGGGCAACAGTCGCTGTTATCGAGGCAAGCCTCTGGTGGTTACTGATAATTCTTTGCTCTCGCATGCCGCAGTCCCACCCAGCGCTCGCACCCGCTGCCAGCGCCAGAGCCACTGTTCGCACCCACTGCTGGTGCCCAGCACCAGTCCCAATTGCTCCGAGCCATGAGCAGGTGTGAGTGGCGGCTGCTGGCCCTGATCACCCCTGCGGGCTTCTCCACCTCCCCCTGCTCCTGAGGGGTGATTGGAGCAGCAGCCACCGCCACCACTTGCACCCACTGACTGCGCCGGCCCCACTCGCATCCGCTGCTGGCACCAGCCCCAATCGCTCCATGCCTTCAGCAGATGCAAGCCAGGCCAGCGCCATCAGCGCATGGGAGGGGTGGCAGCAGGAGCAGGGCTGCCAGCATACAGGAGACCAGGGGCCACGGTAGGAGGGGCTGGGCGGGGGGGCACGGAGGATGGGCCAAGGCCCGCCCCTGTGCCTACCACAGCCTCGCAGCCCACGGTTCCTTTCAAGGTGCACCAATTTGTGCACTGGGCCCCTAGTTTAAAATAACTGGAATAGCCTGGCCAGCATGGCTAAGTGGTTGAACATCAACCTATACCAGAGAGGTTTATTTAGCAGAGGACTTTCGCTGAATAAAAGTTGTAGAAGCTTCTCCAGAATTAAAATTTTAAGGAACATTCTCTGAAGGAGATCAAACCTCCACTTAAATGGTAAAGTAGTATATTTAGGGGTAAGTGGAAGCTTTTCCTTTACCACTTTTAACTATAGAGGACTTTTTGGATTACTGATTTGCTTACAGGAGGTATAAAATTATAACAGAAGAATATTTAATCATAATCTCATATGTCAAATGTAATCTAACCTCTTAAGATTCTCAACTTAGGCTCATAAGCATTAACATTTACATAACTATAAGTAGATTAAACGCTTTTTGTTGTATTTACCTTTTTTCCTTTGAAGTTGAGGGTACCAGGCTGCTCCACAACCCCATAATATAAGCACATAATGTTGACCTTGGGCCTGTTCCACTGTTAACAGAACTTTACTTTGCTTCTGTCCTCTATAACTATATACCGCCTCTGGAAAAAAAGGACTGTTTTATTTATAATGTCTAACGATAAATATATAATGTTAACCAAATTGTACACTAAGAAGGCCTTGTATCTGATCACCTGTCAGTACAGTGACATCCACCACTCTGAGCAGCGCATGGACTAGCACACCGGGCTGGAGCTGCTCCAGAGCCACGAACTCCACACTGCTCACTTCCTGGGGCGGCCTCAGACGGAGGTCTCGGAGATAGGAATGCTTTGAAGATACATGTGCCAGTAAGTCCTGAAGTACAACATCACTAACTATACTGGAATCTGAAAGAAAACAAACACACATACACACAAAAGATGGCAACATTCTATTTTCATGGCAACACAGTATTTTCTTATACTGTATTTTACATTGTAAAGTGTGATTAAATGTAAAACATGATTTCATTTCTACAAAACATGTAGGTTATTCTGGACTCAATTTAGATGCAAAAATAAACTTGATATTTTTAATCAATAGAAATATAATTATTTACTATCTCCAAAAAACTTTGCCCTGTTCCCTCACTTCTCTATTTTTTCACCAATTAACCAAGAACATTCCAGTTATTTTTGACTCCTCCAATTGTTTCTCTAATCCCTGATTTGATCACGGCTTTCCCAGCTCTCCATGCCGTTCTTCCTCGGAACTTAGCATGTCACATCTGAAATACTCTAAAAGTCACCTAACTGACTTTCCCTGAACATGCCTTGTACTTCTCAGCCTCTGTCCTCACCATTTCATTGGCTGTAATGCTGTCATCCTCCTCTCTGCCTTCCCAAATACTACACAGAATAATAACCACTTAGGCTCCCAGGGATTTCTCCTTTTATCTCTAACTCTCATGTGGCATTTGAGTATGTGCTACACCAAGCATGTCAAACTCAAAGGCTAACACGGGCCAAATAAACAAGGTTTAAGTTTATCTGGGCCGCAAAAAAACAAAAGTTTCAAATTTCATAGAAACGTAGATTTATTTCGATAGAGACATGCTGAATACAAAGGGCTGAAATAAATGAGTAATGGTTAACATAAAATAACAGAACATTTTAATAAAAATTAATATTTTTTGTTGAACATTAACTTACAAGATACTGAATAAGTGCACAAATTAATAAGCGTAACGCAAATAAACCTGTTTTTCTTGTTCTCCAAAAGCAAAATATTTCCTGTTGTGCACAACAAACAAATTAGTACAAGACTAATGACGTGGCAATCAGTTGCTAAAATATTTGCTGCTAGTATTAGTGGAGAGAAATGGTACACCTGCGTGTAGGGGAAATGAATGAAACATGATTATAGTAATCAGTCATTAGCGAATGTTGTAGTTCATTATTAATAATCTATATATATAAAAGGCTAATATGCTAAGTGTCTGACCATCCAACCAGTTGCTATGATGCACACTGACCACCAGGGGGGAGACACTCAATGCAGGAGCTGCCATGACACGCACTGGCCATTAACAAAGAAACAGCACCATAGACCTGGTGCCCACAAAGCAACACTCAGCTTCCCCCAAGTAGGACATAGGCCCCGCCACCACCCCTGAGAAACACCCCACCAAATCGCAGCCAATGCTGCCGAGACCCCATGGGGCAAAATGCAGCCCACAGCCAGCCCAGCCTGGAAACGTTCACTGTGGGCACTGGGTAATGATGGTATGTAGCAACACCTGGCTTCCTCTCCCTAGCGACTAGCCTCTTTGGAGTTTCTTCAGCCCAGGAACATGACTTACTTTATAGCCAGGTGGAAACATTTTACACTTTAATCAAATGTCTGTGAAACATTTTCCTGTGCCTCATCTCATTTGATCGTCACAGAAGTCCTAGAGTAGTTAGATAGTAGACTCGGTGGAATCCTATTTTCTTTTCATTAGCCAGAAAACGGAGATTTAGAAATTTATGGACAAAAATCGTACATCTATGGATGAGGCGGGGGGGGGGGGGAGGCGTTAAGGGCAGAGGGTGGGAACTGGGTGGAGGGGAGCTATGGGGGGGGAAAAGAGGAACAACTGTAATAATCTGAACAATAAAGATTTATTTTTTTTTTTAAAAAAAGTAAATCATTGTGGAAAAAAAAAAGAAATTTAAAAACTTGACCGGACTGAAAAGAAGAAATGGTGGACCTTGAAAATGACTTCAGGTTTTCTCACTGTGCAGAATAAAGTCAAACACTGCTGCAATTAAATATTTTACCCTTTGTTCTCCCTGCGTGATCTATAATAATAATCTGCTTCATATATGTAGGGAGTGACTATAGGGTTAAGCCTCGGACTGACCTATTGGCAAAGCCACAAACAAGTCCCAGCTTACAGGGCACAGCCCTCTTAGTATAATTAAGCTTGACCTTATGATTCTCCCTAGATCCTTTCTGGGTAGCTAATGGGCTGTGGGAGGTGCAGCCAGTGCTTCCAAAACAAGTAAAACTCACAAGAACATTGTAACTATGGTGACCACTATCTTGTTTACCTCTGACTATAAAATAAAGCATCAGCTTGCCGTCTGGATCCTTCTCTGTAGCCTCAGGCAGGAACAGGAGATCCACCGAGCCCCAGCTTATTCTCTTTGTCTGTCTTTTCTTTAATCCTTCACCGCCCCCCTCGCCCCCTGCCCCCAGGCTCACCAAACCCTTGGCTGTACTGGCCTGGCACAATATTGATATTTACTGCTGTGTTGCTGAGTTACCTGAAAGAGAAGTTGGTGTGCTTCACTGGGCTGGAAAAAGTATAGCTAAATCAGAAAGCAGGTCGAATTAAGCAAGTTTATTCTATATATATAAAAGGCTAAGTTGACTCACGCATGTGCTATACATATAAAGCTCTCGCTGGCGCCAATCCCACACATGTTTCTATCTGTCATTGTCAATCGTGAATTTGGTTGACACTTCTGTTATAGAGAAAGGGCGAATAGCGCTATTAAAATATTTCTGCTATTTAATTTCCTTTCAATGTGCACAAATTCATGTACCAGGCCACTAGTTATGTATAACAACATATTGTAAAAATTAAGTTATGAAATTTTTATTAAAATGTTTCTTACAGAGGAGAAACCAAGATGGCGGCGTAGGTAAACACCTGAAATTGCTGCCTCGCACAACCACTTCAAAAATACAACTAAAAGACAAAACAGACATCATCCAGAACTACAGGAAGGCTGGCTGAGTGGAAATTCTACAACTAGAAGGAGAGAGAAAAGCACACTGAGACTCAGAGGAGGTGCGGAAGTAAAGTGCAGAGGTACGGAGGCGCACGTGGAAAGGGCTGGCAACTGAGGATGCAGTTGTCTTTTTCAATCGGGAGGGAGTCACAAGCTCCCGACTGCTCTGAACTCCAGTTCCAGGCGAGTCTTTGGGGACCCAGACTCATACAGGGAGAAACTGGACTGTCTGGCATAGGGCAGAACTCGAGGGCGGCTTTCTCTCAAAGGTGCTTGCAGCAATTACCATGGGACACTGAGACCCTGGGCCTCTTAGGGCAGGGCTGAGGATCAGCCATAGCTGTTTGCTCCTCCCTGTTGATCCCCTGAAACCCCGCCCCACCCAAGCTGTGCGCAGAGGCTTTTGCACATGAAAGGCCTGGCCCTTTGCAATCTGAAAATTACCTAACAAACTGCAGCTGGGTCAGAGAGACCCAGAACTTCCAAAAGAAGGCCCAAGGCCCCACAGCAGCTTGCATTGCTTCACAGCTGGGCCTCATCTGGGCACCTCCAAACCCCAAACAAAGAAGAGGGATCTGCAGATCTCTCCATAGCTCCTGCTGGGTAGCCTCAGGCAGAGGCTAAATTAGCACCTCCTTAGAGATCCAAGAGCCAGTGTTCCCAGTGGTCAGAGTGGGACCATCCAGATTACAACTCCTCAGATCCATAAGGGACACACTCAGGGGGCAGACTCAGTGAGCACCAAAGCCCCACTGAAGCAAGTCTTGCCCCATAAGGGTGTCTTCAGCACAGTTCTCCCACTGTAGACACAGCTGATTCTCACAGCCAATTGGCCTGGAGGTCAATTCCTCCCAGTGATAACTACAACAATCAAGGCTTAACTACAACAAGACTGTGCACAAAGCCCACAAAGGGGTGCACCAAAAGTGTCCACCTCAGGTAATTGGGGAGGTTGAGCCACTGGGCCGTATAGGACACCTAGCACACAAAGCCACTCTATCAACACAGGGAAGCATAAAAAATGCGGAGACAAAGAAACAGGTCACAAATGACAGAAATGGAGGAAAGCAAACTACTGGACATAGAGTTCAAAACCATGGTTATAAGGTTTTTCAAGAATTTTCTAGAAACTGCTGATAAATTTAGTGAGACCCTCGATAAATCTAGTGAGACCCTCGAGGATAAGAAAAAGGAACAACTAGAAATTAAGCATACACTGACTGAAATAAAGAATAATATACAGAGATCCAACAGCAGACAAGATGATCGCAAGAATCAAGTCAAAGATTTGAAATACGAAGAAGCAAAACACACCCAACTGGAAAAACAAAAAGAAAAAAGAATCCAAAAATATGAAGATAGTGTAAGGAGCCTCTGGGACAACTTCAAGCGTACCAACATCCGAATTATGGGGGTGCCAGAAGAAGAGAGAGAGCAAGATATTGAAAACCTATTTGAAGAAATAATGACAGAAAACTTCCCCTACCTGGTGAAAGAAATAGACTTACAAGTCCAGGAAGCGCAGAGAACCCCAAACAAAAGGAATCCAAAGAGGAACACAACAAGACACATCATAATTAAAATGCCAAGAGCAAAAGACAAGAGAGAATCTTAAAAGCAGCAAGAGAAAAAGTTAGTTACCTACAAGGGAGTACCCATACGATTGTCAGCTGATTTCTCAACAGAAACTATGCAGGCCAGAAGGGAGTGGCAAGAAATATTCAAAGTGATGTATAGCAGGAACCTACAACCAAGATTACTTTACCCAGCAAAGCTGTCATGCAGAATTGAAGTCAGATAAAGAGCTTCACAGACAAGAAAAAGCTAAAGGAGTTCATCACCACCAAACCAGTATTATATGAAATGCTGAAGGGTATTCTTTAAGAAGAGGAAGAAGAAGAAAAAGGTAAAGATAAAAATTATGAACAACAAAGTGACAACAAATACATATCTATCAACAAGTGAATCTAAAAATCAAGTGAATAAAAAATCTGATGAACAGAATAAACTGGTGAATATAATAGAATCAGGGGCATAGAAAGGGAGTAGACTGACAATTCTCGGGGGGAAGGGGGTGTGAGGGGTGTGGGATGAGACTGGACAAAAATCGTACACCTATGGATGAG